TTCAATTATTGATTTTTAATATACTTGCACTTATGCATGGTGCATAAAGTCTCCCATATGATAATAAACCAGCAGGATCCTGATGCAATACAAATTAACAAAATAATCAATTGACTGCAATACTGCTCTGGGAGGGCCAGAAATCAGAGCACTATAACTGAGCTCTATGCTCCTGTGAATGCCAAGATAATCAGCTCCACATTTTGAAGGAAGAAGGTTAATTGTACTGTTGAACTCCTGCAGTTAAGTGACTCTGTTACATTGAGCATAAATGACAGATTTACTAAATTATACCAGCAGGTGCACAAAAATTGAAGAGCATACACAAACTCCCTCCCCACAGGAATAGAAAACTTCAGATAAAATGCAGATAATTCAGGCTAAATACTAGTGGAAGAAGACAGTTTCAGTAAGGACATATAATAGACATGGCTCTTAAAAAACAAAATCATAGCAGCAAGGTGATTAGCCAAAGGAAGTGGTGGATCTTCTGCCTCTTAAACTGCCACTGCTGGTCCTCTCCTGAAAGAGAAGGTGAAAACTGATTGTCTACATTTTTTGAGAAGTCAGGGCTTAGACCCTACAAATTGGGCTAAGGAGCCATCTCTCATGAAGGGTTTGAAAGAGCATGTCCAAACACCTGAAATTATGGTTCAACAACCCAACTTCAGGTTGTCGTGACTCATTCCTACTGTCGTTATCACAATTTTCTGAAAGCAAAGAAATATGGTGACCACAAAAGAAAAGTATAAAACAAACAAACAAACAAAAAAGTATAAAACACTATTTGGTGTACCTTTTCTGCCAGCATTTGTTCCAATGGGCAGCCAGGCTCCCCACCTCCACACTTAGTGCACAGAGCCCAGCTCTGCTGGTCATGGGTATGTGTGGGCCTCTCACGCTGGAAAAGATGCTACCCTGCTCCCAGCACAAAAAGCACACAAATAATCATGGATTTTCCCTTGTTAAACTCCCTTAGGAGGGATTGCTACTGACTGCCTTGCCCAGCAAAACCCAGGGCACCTGGGTTCACCAATTTCTGTGGTACCACTGCTAAAATGGCATCCTGGCCTGCATCAGGAGGAGTGTTGCCAGCAGGTCGAGGGAGGGGATCCTCCCCCTTTACTCAGCTCTGGTGAAGCCGCACCTGGAGTATTGGGTGCAGTTCTGGACTCCCCAGTACAAGAAGGACATTGAGCTTCTAGAGAGGGTCTAGCATAGAGCCACCAAGATGATTAAGGCACTGGAACATTTTTCATGTGAGGAAAGATTAAGTGAGCTGGGCCTGTTTAGTTTGGAGAAGAGAAGGCTGAGAGGAGATTTGATTAACATGTTCAAGTACCTGAGGAGTGATTGTAGGGAGGATGGGGCCAGGCTCTTCTCTGTGGTGGTTGGTGACAGGACGAGGAGTAACGGGTGTAAAATGAAACACAGGAAGTTCCACCTCCATATGAGGAAGAACCTCCTTACTGTGAGGGTGACAGAGCCCTGGAACAGGCTGCCCAGAAAGGTTGTGGAGTCTCCTTCTCTGGAGATCTTCAAAATCTGCCTGGATTTTGGCAATCTGCCTGGTCCTGTGCCACGTGCTCTAGGTGTCCCTGCTTGTGCAGGGGGGTTGGACTACATGATCTCTAGAGGTTCCTTCCAACCTTAACTATTCTGTGATTCTGTGTAAAAATCCTAACACCAGAGGTATGGCCATGTAGGGAACTATTGCTCAAGTTTAGCATCAATCAGACAATAATAAATTAAAGTGGGTAGCCTGAACTCAGAGGTTTCACTCAGCAATGAACCTTTCCTGATGGAAACACAATTTAAAGAACTCGTGTTGCAACCAAGTTCATATTGTGAAAAAAATGAGGAGAGGAGAGAGGAGAAGAGAGGAGAGGAGAAAAGGAAATGACTTGCTTTTGCCTTACTTTGTGACCTTTCATTGTCCTGATATTAGTTCAGCGCTTGGTAAATAAGAAACTTTCAAAAATAAAGGGAAAAGAAATCAATATTTTTTTGTCCATTAGCAGGCCTCTCACAGCTCAGTGACATTCAGGAATTGGTGAGTAAAGACACAAGGAATCAATGTGTAGGAGAAGGCTGCAGATCATATTCAACCTGCTCAGCTAGGCAATCAATAGTGCTCCTC